AAGAATCAACCTTTAATCTTGGAAATTGGTATAATTGAAGACTAGGGCTTGGGTTTTAAATGAAATTTGGATTTGGAAAGGCATTTGAACTCCGATTTTGGTAAATTTTATATGTACGGACTCGTGGCGAGACGAGGAATCTGGTAATGTGAATTTCGTAATTTTTCGAGAAGCGGGCCCGGGGCTCGGGTTTTTGCCAACTTCGTGAATTTTGGTGTTTTTCGAGTCTTTTCGATTGGGTTATGTTTCTTTAGCCTATTGTAATGTATTCGTTGTGGTTTTAATCAGATTCGGCGTGCGAAGAGGTTGATTCGAAAGGCAAAGGCATAGCGAGCTAGACTTGTGGCCGGCTTGAGGTGAGTAATAGATGTAGATGGTGACCTGAGGGTTTGAAACCCCGGTATATCACATTGTGACGCTATATTGAGGCGAGACACGTACTCTATGACGAGTGCGGGGTCGATTGTGACTGGGGATTGTGACCTAGTCCGTTCCGATTGATGTTCGTACTGTGTTCTTGACTAGAAATTGTTTGGTAATCATCCTACTTGGATTTTATGAATTTGTTTGGGGCTTTGTGCCTATCATGTGCATCCTTCAGGGATCCTTATCACTGTTTCCGTGATGTTTAGCATATTTCATGATATCAGTCCTGAGCTAGACACTGCCTCGAAATGATTAGTAAATTAATAAAGGTTTAAACACTTAGCTTTATAATTCCTAATAATTGAGACCAAAATGAATAATCTGACTGTGCCCGAGTGGCTTGCATGCATATATATATCTGGGCTGAGTGTGGATCGGGCTGCACGCCGCAGCGAATGTTACGATGATATTGCGCTTGGGCTGTAGGAGCCCCTCCGGAGTCTGAACCCCCACAGTGAGCGCGGGTACCCAAATGGATCGGGCTGCGCGCCGCAGCGGTCATGTGCATTGCATTGCATTCATGCATTTTATATCTGTTGGTCTTAATTGTCATTGTGTGCTGTTGTTTCATCGTTTAACGTGCTGAATCGTTGATTATAGCTTTATATTGTAATATTTCGGGATTTCTTACTTTCAGCCATTATATATGTTTATTACTCACTGAGTTGGAAGTACTCACTTTACTCCCTGCACCATGTGTGCAGATTCAGGTGCTCCGGAGGCTTAGTGGAGCTGTTTGCTGTTTTTCGTGAAGTTATTTTCAGGAGTTGTTGAGGTAGCTGCTTGACGTCCGCAGAACCCGACTCCTCCCCTTTATTTCATTGATATATTACTCTGTTACATCTAGAGGCTCTAGACTCGTGACTCCAGATCTATTGGGGAATGTTGGGATATTCGTTATTTTTTTCCATACTATTTTATTTAGTTTCGGATTGGAACCTTGATATTTGCTATTTTAATCGTATTATTTGTTAACGGATTGCGTATTTGGATTGAGAGTATTTAAATTGGTCGGGCTTGCCTGACATTAGTGTTGGGCGCCATCACGACCGGGATTGGGCTCGTGACACTCCACTAATTAAAACAAAATGAAAAACTATTCCCCATGAAAAGCCTAGTAGTACAAAACATAAGCCACGGGAGGACATGGAAATGTCCATTTCAATGGCAGAGGTGATATTTCCAACTTTGTGTGTACTTAAACAGAGCTGAAGATAAAGACAACCCCTCAGTCTTCCATGTACTGCACCATTTCCTGCTAAACCCTCATCTCTATCCAAATTCCAAAGCTTCTCTCTTCTTCTTTTTCTCTCTCTTTAATATTACTATTCACTCCATTTGCTGTTATATAATGGTGTCAAAATCTTGAAACATCTCTACCATAACTGTATTCTCAAGTTTCTTATGTTGGTTAAAGGTTTACATTTTTAGCAAAATATGGCTGAAGATGGGGTATGGGGTTGGGCACCATCACCAAGTGGTTCAATGTACTTAACAAAAGATGATCATTGGACTCATTTTGACAACTCTGTTAATGCTGTTTCTTTTGGTTTTGTTGCCACTGCTATTCTCATCTCTATGTTCCTTATTATGGCTATTTTTGAAAGGTTCCTCAGACCACCCTCGCCGGATTTGACTCCCTCCGCCCACCGCCGCCACGCTGATATTGAATCACAGTTAGGTTTCAACCCAAAACTTGGCTATTCTACCCCTAAAGTAAGTGTCGTTCTTGGAATTTTAGCTCAATTTCTTGTTTCTGAACTTCCTTTTTTCATGCCTTAAGATTTCTTGTTGCATTGACCAGTTGGGGTTTTGAATTAGCTATCTTAATTTTCGTTGAAGTTTTTTCTATCCCAACTAATATTGTAATAATTGTGAATTTGGTTCTCCTTAATGTTTTTTCAATGTATTCTAATCCTTCTTTAGTCATATAGGTGTTCTTTTTCTATGTGCTTTGCAATTTGCATATATGTGTTTTTGCATTCTTGGTTACTCCAAATTTTGTTCTCTGTTTATTGAAATGAAATCTGTACCATATGGGAAAGGGTCATACATGCTGCTTTACACCAAAAAAATTCCATTAAATTGATACATCTTCGCCATTTTCAGTCACTTGGAAAACAATTCCTAAATTCTCCCATCATTTCTTCTTTTTGAAAAAATTAATTTATTTCCTTTATTCCCCTTTTTATTTATTAGTAGAATATTATTTTATCAATTTCTTTTTTCTTTTTCTGGGGGTGAGGTGTTGGGGGGTGGGATAAGGCAAAACCCCATATGCTTTTTAAAGAAACCCAAATTGTGAAGCTTATAAAACTTTTGCTAAAGAATAAAAGATAAGAAGCAAATTTTCAATAAGTGAATGAATTTAAAATAATGTATTTGCATGTGCATGTTCCTCAGATTATGATACACAAAAAAACACTCCCATTGATTTAGTGTTTGAGCAATGGCCCCTCTACTATTTAACAAGTTAGCTTTTCAGTTGGTCCCTGTTTAATTAGATCTGAGACTTTATGCCTACTTTGTTGATTTTTTGTATATTAAGGCTTTGCCCCACTCCCCTTTGTACATTAAATAGCCCATCACCACCAATGTTAATGATGTTCTCCATGTACTACTCCTTGACTGGAAACAGGCTGCCTGCCCTGAGAAAATCTTTGTTATTCTTGTTCCACTATCTCCGGTTTATATTATCTGTCTTTTGAGGTTTTCGCACTACTCCCTCCGGTTCACAATAAGATTGTGATTGTGAACCGGAGGGAGTATTTCTTAAGAAATACATTCAATAGACTTGACATAAGAATATTTGTCTGATCCTTTATGTCTCATTAAACATCTCAGTTAATTAGCACTTCAATAATTAGAATAGTAAGGGTAGAAAAGTACTGATAAATGAAATCTTGTGTTCTTGATATGTCAAGTATTTGAAATAAATTAGTTTGCCAAAAGGACTATAGTTTCCCTCCTATATTAATGTATTATAGACAAATAGGTGCCTTGTGCTTTTCATAATGAACAACAACAACAACAAGTCGTGGTATGTACGCAGACCTTACCCCTAAGCAATCATTAAACCGCAAGTTTTTACCTTTATTGGGAACTTTGTCTTCTTTCTCTTAATCCTAGTGCCTTTTTAGTGATGGAACTTTATTAAATTTTAAAATGATTAGTGTTTGTAATAGTTCTTACAGATGCACATACAGGCTTAATATGCTAAACTTGCTTCATTTATATTTAGATACTAAGTGCCCAATGCTTGACCTTTGTTGGGGTTAATTGGGGGATTTATATGTGCTGGAAAGCACTCATAGCTACCCATATTTATGCCCCATAAAATAGAAACACTTCAGCCCTAGGATTCCACCAGTTAAACACAATGTAAAATGTAGACAAATGATAGGTACTTGGACTTGCAGAAATAACATTGGAAAATGAACGTGGAAAACTAATTAAATGCAGCAAAAGGTATCATGTTGTATTATCATAGTGATGTTCAGCGCTGGGTTGGCCTACAATTATTGTGTGTTTTAGTGCCCTATAAAAGCAACAATTATTTAGCTGTTATTTGTTGTTTGATCGATATATACAGAATCCTTTGACATGACATGCATATCCATTTCTTCTCGTTCCTTGCTTCCAGCAGAAAAGACATGCCTACATATACAAGATCAAACACCTAATCCCTTGGAATAACATAACTAAGCTTGAAATAACATTAAGGATACATGAATAGGATTGTCTTCTCCATCCTGCTCAGCCTTCAAAAACCCCCCCCCCCCCCCCCAACCCAACCCAACAAAATGAGAAGACACGGAATATTGGCAAATCTTAGCTTAGCTCAGTTTTTGACCATCCAAAAGATGACTGCTTCTGTTTTACCATTACCATACATGACCGGTCAGTGGCGAAGCCAGAAATTTTCCTTAGGGTGTAAAAACTTAAAAGAAGTAAAAAAATTCCATGACAAAGGGTGTTCAATATATGTTATATACGTCTAAAACCTAATATTTTACCTATATACGCAGTGCAGTTTTCCAACGAAGGGTGGTCAATTGACCACCATTACTATAGTGTAGCTTCGCCCATGTACATGACATGCATTTGTTTAGACAAGATCAGTTAGTACATAGCTTGTGATGACTCTGAGAAAACTTGAATGATCTGATATTAGTGAGGAAGAAAAAGAACTAAGCATGTCTAATTTATCTAGCAATGATTCGAGTGCTTGAACTCAGAAGAGACATCCTATTCCTGTCAAATGTCTCGTTCTGCTTTAAGAAAAGTCTATCGCTTGCTTGGTGACTCAATGTAGTAGATTTTCCAAATAAGTTTTAATTATGTGATTATTGATTAGCTGACAAAGAGAGCTAGTTAAAATGTGATAATGTCTTTGATAAGTTGCAATTTGATCTATGCCTCTTAATCATCTAGTTTACTTTCACTTCAACGCGGTTGTTTTATATTCATGCTAGCAGGAAACTAGTTGTTTGGATTCACTCTTCTTAAGGCCAATGGTGCATGAGGTAGTACATATATAACATGTTAAAACCTTTGCTTGCTTCTGCAGGTATCTACAAATGCAAGAGAAGTTTCAGTGTTGATGCCAGGAGATGACATCCCAACTTTTATTGCTAATCCTGCTCCTGTACCTTGTCAACCGGAACGAAATCCATGGCCTCCCCATCAGCAAAGTCGTCTAACCTGTGTCACGAACTCCAACTCAAACGTGTCGTCGTAGCTCTTCTTAACCAGATGGTGCAGATATCAGAAATGCCAATTTCTATGGTATTAGGAAGGGTACCTAAGCATATATTTTGAGTTTTCCAGTTGGGTTTTTGGTTTATGTACATAGAATTTAGACATTGATTTCTCAGCTGGTTAGCTCTTCTTTGTACCCAAACCTTCAGTAAAGAAATAGCTAAAGAGGCATTAGCTTGTTTATGTTGTCCATCTGTTCCATTCTCCAGCATTGAATTGTCCAAACTCCAAAGTAGGAAGGGATATAATTGGCCTTTAAAATAGTAGTTCATGAGTTGGAAAAAGAACTTCACAAGTTATATATCATGGCTGTTCTAATTTATGAGCAAACCTAGAATCAGAGAGGAAATATTCTTGTGTGATTCAAGTTTTATATTGCCCTTAAATCCTAACAGTTTCATCATTGCATTATTTGCGCTATTTCTACCCAAGAACTCTATTGAATCCAAACATCGTTTAGCTGCAAATTTTCCACAAAATATAGTCCAAATTTTTGCTTTTTAAAAAGAGATTTTTTCCTTCCTATACCATATATGAAACTTTATTATCAAATATGTGCATAGTTTCTAATTTACCCGCTATGTTCACAGTTTTTCTACAATTATTATACCATTCATTAAATACTAATTATTAGTAGCTGAATCTTCCTAATTAGGCGCGCTACAAATCAGGAACAGAATATTCTAATTGATTTCGCGACCTTCAGATCAAATTTGAAACGCAAATCCTATATCTTCAATTTAAAATCCATTGACAGCCATTAAAAAGCTTGAAAGCTTTGAATTCAAATTTGGGTTTTCAAAAATCATTATTTGTTTGGATTGGGTGTTGTTGAAAATAATCGGGAATATGGTTTGGAGTTTATATCTCAATTTTGAGGGGTTTTGGTGAAGATTAGACTTGGTTTTGACTGAATTTCAGATTGAAACTCGAAGAAGAAGAAGAAGAAAAAGACATATTGCAGAAATTGTAGATTATTTGTATTCTGATTGTAGGTGCTTTATTTTCTGTTTTCACGAATAAAAAACGGCTAAAACTTCTACAAATCTTCTGAAAAAACGCAATTATGTCAAAAATCCCAATTATGCTACAATTGAATGGGAATTGGGATATAAAAATTCAATGTACCTAGTTTGTAGATAAATTGTAGATTATTAGTATTCTGATTGTAGATGCTTTATTTTCTGTTTTCACAAATCAAAAACGACTAAAACTTCTACAGATCTTCTGCAAAAAACGCAATTATGTCGAAAATCCCAATTAAACTACAATCGAATGGGAATTGGGATATTAAAATTCAATATACCCAGTTTGTAGATATTTTGTAGATGAATTGTAGATTATTTGTATTCTGATTGTAGATGCATTGTTTCTGTTTTCACAAATCCAAAACGACTAAAACTTCTACAAAATCTTCTGCAAAAAACGCAATTATGTCGAAAATACCAATTAAGCTACAATTGAATGTGAGTTGGGATATTAAAATTCAATGTACCCAGTTTGTAGATATTTTGTAGATAAATTGTAGATTATTTGTATTCTGATTGTAGATGCTTTATTTACTGTTTTCACAAATCAAAAACGACTAAAACTTTTACAAATCTTCTGCAAAAAATGCAATTATATCGAAAATTCCATTTATGAGATTGGACGAATCTTTATGATTTAAGAAGAATAAATATCGAAATAACACATGGAGCTAAGTTAAAGCTTGTGACAACTTGTACGTATAATGTGCAAAAATCTCCAACGCAAAAGAAGAGTGTCCAGCTAGTGGAAGCCTGGGAACAACAGATTTTGCAGATCTGAATGAATTTAACTAAAACATCCTTCAACTCCAACCCGAAAGAATTGCGTTCTGGATATTCTAGTATTAACAGACCATGTTACAACCTCATCTTTTTATGGAATTTCCTGATAAACAAATCAGCCACATTATCGATCTCGTCTTCTAGTACGAAATTCTGTCCTTCTTCCTCTTTGAAAGTCCTCACCATGTCTATAGCTGATGCATTTGGATCACCTGAATATTCATCCTCTTCATCGAACAACGAATGTGTCAAATCCGGATACTTATCATCATAATCATCATACTTTTCGCCTTTGCTCAATACTTTATGTTTAATAACAGTACATAAATGTGGGTGAGGGTGAGGGTTTGGGAGAGAGAAACGTGGGAGGGGTGGGATATACGGTACCTTGAATTAAGGAGGGATATACGCTGCATTAATTGTACCCTTAAAATACACTATGGTATAAAATTGGTAATTTAGTATACTAAATGTAATTATATCAAACCTTAAACATTGAAGGTAATAAGGTTTCCTATATGGTATAGGAATGTGAAAATTCCTTTTAAAAAAGGGTGCACACAGACTTGGAAAAAAATCCTCATACCAATTGGTCTAATGGGCCAGCCTTTTACAAATTGCTTCTTTGGGCTATTTGAAGAATAACTTGTAGCTCACTACCAGATGGACAAAAGCTCCGCCCACTCGGGGAGGGTGTCGACGAGACGAATTAGGAATCCATTATTTAAAAATTTTTTTACCTCCTATAGCAAAGGTAAACACCTTATTTATTTTAAATAAATATTATTTTAAAAAATTATATTCTATATCTAATTTGGTTACCTCCTACCCCTAAGCCATTAAATACGCCATTTTTTTTTTATTTTTCTCTCCTTTTTTCAGATTTTTCTCTCACATAATTACCGTATTTCACATAAACATCTCACTCCACGTTCTTTCTCTCTCTACTTTGATACATGCCATTCTCTTCCCCCATTCCCTGAAAATACGATGCTCAATCTCAAAATTCCTCTCACCCACATCACCTACCATTAGTCACAAAGGGTGCTTTTGCCTCTTTCTCTTCTCGTATTTCTCTGTGTTTTCATAGCGATAGTGAAGGGATGATAACAATTGGAGTAATATATATTTGGGAAAAATACACATCTTCCTGAATCTGCTTTGTGTTTGATCACTTCGCTTCCAACTGGATTGTGATTAAGTATGCTACTGTATCTTACTCTTATTCAGAGATTCACTTCACTTCGCTTCGCTTCCAACTGTAAACAATTTTTACTCTCGGAGTAGATCACTTTCGCAGTAGCATTCTCGAAGATTCAGGGTTTTTGCTCGACGGCGGATTCGCCGGAAATTAGGGTTTGTTCTTGAACAAAGACGACGGAATTTGGGGCTGAGCAACTTGATTTTCTGTTAATATATTTCAATGTATTTTCAACGTATCACGCTGTATTTTCATGTATTTCATTGTATTCATCGTCTTTTTTTTCATTGTTATTCAATGTATCTCGTTGTATTCCATGTATTTCATTGTATTCACTATCTTTTTTTTTAATTTATTTCAATGTGTCCCGCTGTATTCTATGTATTTCATTGTATTCACTCTCTCGCTATATGCCATGAATGTATTCATATGTTTTTCTTAATTAATATAATTTATATATTAAGATATATTATATATTTTCTCTGAAGATTGCTATATTTTGGGGTATTTTTCGGTTGAGAATCTTTTTTATAAATGGAAATACAAAATTTGTGTGTTATAATTGAGTTCGTTGAGTTATATTAGGAGTCTATTATGTTAATTGATTCACTTTCCGTTTAAAAATAGTGTAATCCCATATTTCACGTCGTGAATACAGTCGAATACAATAATCTGTCCAGCTGTAATCCCTTGTTTCACGCCATGAATACAAGCAAATACACTTGAATACAACAACTAATTAGCTGGACTTCCCTGATTCACGCCTATTTTTGCTACTGTATTCATGAATACAGCAGCTTAAATACATCTAATACATCTTATAACAATAAAAAACGTATCTACAATCCGTAATATAGCAAATGGTATCTATAGATAGCTAATTACCACTAAAAGATAGTGCTCTATGAAAAATTCTCTTATTTAAATAAGAGGAATTTTCAGAAACCACTATTCGTTAGTGGCTATTAGCTTCGTATAGCTACCATATACATAATTACTTCCTATAGCTACTATTTAGTTGTTACGGTAGTGTATTCGCTATGTTCGCGCTGTTGTATTCATGAATACAACAACAAAAAATGCCTAAAAATCAGGGTAGTCCAGCTGTACGCGCATGTATTTACATGTATTCCCACCACGTATTCATTAATACAACAGCAAAAAGTGCCTAAAATCAGGGCAGTCCAGTTATACGCGCATGTATACATGTATTCGCGCTGCTGTATTCGTGAATACAGCAGTAAAAAGCGTCTAAAGTCAGGGCAGTCCAGCTGTATGCGCATGTATTCACATGTACTCATGAATACAATAACGGCAATCAACTTAAAATAGGTATGTCCAGTTGTCTAAGAGAGAGGAAAAACATAAATAGCGTATTTCATATCTTATTTCATGCCTCAATGGTAGTTTATACCATAAATACTTATTTTGCTTTAATATTTAAAAGGTAGCTATAGAAAATAATATTTTCAAATAATTTTGATTTATAATAAATAGGGTGTATACCTTTGCTATAGGAAGTAAAATCCTTTAAATAATCACTTAACTATATGAAATTATCTAGTAAAGTTATTTTTTTGTTTATAATAGAAAATTTATTTAACTATATCTACAGCTCTCAAAAAGTCACTAGGTAGATTTCTCAAACTTTCGGTAGCTAGATAAATGTTTTACTCTCTAAATTATTAATTTTTATCTTTTTTTAGTACTTTTCTAATATTATAATTCTTTCCTCTTTTTGCTCTATACAATGGATAACAAAATAAATCTTGATTATCCAGTAAAAAGAAAAAGAAAAAGTTAATTTTCAGGCATATAGAATGTTAGAATTTTCAATTATATATAATGTATATTAAATATATACTTCCATTTTGAATAATGTTTTTTGTATTACATGCATAGAGTAATTAAATTACACTAGCAATATTATTTTACTGTGCTTAATTATTTTATTCATCAATTTCAGGTGCTTAAACTCTTATTTTATAACTCAAACATAATTTTTAATACATTATTTATGTAATTTTAAAAAGGACACACACAACACACGTACATCAAAACTAGCTAGATAATAATTTAAATAGAGGGATAAAAGGATTTTGATTAGCATTTCACAGATTGGGACAAATTCGCCATAAAAGCAGTAGCCAACTCCAATTTACCCAGTCCAAAGTTCAAATGTTGCTGCATTATTCCAAAAAAATACTTTCCTACAGTTTGCATTTTGCGACTGTTTTTTTTTTTTTTTTTTTTTTTAGTGCGATTACTTAGTGTTTTGTTCCAACATTATACATGCCTGTTAATTTTTTATTTTGTTAACTTTAGAAATAGTAAGATTTATTTATGAATTGAAAAACCGTGTCAGATTTCTTCCCCTTAGTTCTTTCTTTTGTTTTCTTTTAATTATCTCTAATTAGACCAGAGGCGGACCCAGAATTTTAATGCGGCGGGAGCACATTATTCTGCTCAACCAGTGCCTCCTAAAGACTTGTAGTGTTTAGAGCGCCAACTGCTTTAAATTAACCATTTTCAAAGTATATATGTGTAGATATACAGAATTTGAGCCGAATTTACATAATATTATCCTTCCATATTTCAATTTTGCAACAGCACTGCAGTGTGCAGCTAACTTGCACCAAAAATGTATAATTATTGGATACGAAACATTGAAAAGGTCCTTTAGGCCAAGTCAATTTCATAGCCATTTGTCTGCCAAGGGTAAAGACGAAGAAGAAATGGGTGACACTGCCTTCTGCATTGACATTGGAATCTATTTTTGTTTGTGCTGAAATTACAACAAATTGACAAATTATAGTAACGGCTGCATCTTTTTCAGGAGTAATATAATAAATAGAAAATATGGACCACTATATAGTCCAATTTGATGTGTTACTACTAGACAGTAGACACTAACGGCTATAAACGGGATTTTGCCTCCTGTTCTGAAATTCAATTGACAGCCAAAAAATTGTATTGCCGCTTTTGCCCTTTACATGAGGAAATTTACGTAGTTTTCGTTCTTTCTCTTCCTTTCCTAGTTTCCAAACATAGAGTATTCAAAAAAGACATTTTTTAAATTTCAACATTGTAAAAAGCCACGAAAGCTTATTTCCTACTTTTTTGGGATAAAACAAGGAGTTTGGCAAAAACAATGGCGGGTCTAACGATGTGTGTAAGCAAAAACAAGTATAAATATAGTTAGACATACATTTCAGAATTCACTTTTTCAATCGGAATCCATATCGTCTAGATTAATTATGAATCTGCCACTACTTGCACGGTATACGTTTGAGATTTAGCGAGTATTTTCTTATTCATTCATTTGTTTATTCTTTGACGATTGTATTCACCTACTTTTTTATTGGACAAAATATGCTTGGTCATTTTGATGGTATAGTTACTATTAGAAATGTATGCTGTCAAGTACTGAAGGTAGCTGTGATAAATATGGTACAGTTTAGTTAACCCCATTTACAGTTTAGTTGGGAGACATGGTGAGAAACCAATATATATGTACATGCATATTTGGTCAAAGTTTCCCATTGCCCTAACCAATAGTCTACAGCCATAAATACTACAATCTCATCAAAATCTCAACAACTAGCTATTTGCTCCATTCCCTTTACTTTCACATGCATCTTTCACTAGCCCTTTCCCATTTTATAAACAACTTGCCAAAAAACAATACTCACATTTGAGTCCAAAATATTTCAATACAAGGTAGATCAATTTTCATTAGGTTAGAAGGTGGAGTACTAATAATCATGCAGAGAGTTTTTTTTCAAAGAGATAAAGACAACACTCAAACCGCAGGTAGGTTCTTTGTACATCAGAATGTGTGAAGGAAATGAAGAAAGCTGACAGCGACAGCATCCAAAAACAGCCCATAAAGGCATATAATCAGTCTTCTTTGATTGAACTGTTACCAATTATTGAATTGGAATTTAATCCACAGTCATACTAACAGTTGTCAATTTAATAACACCTACCACTTTTTCACCTCCTCCCCCCCCCCCCCCCTCCCCCGTCCAATTTTCAGCATCCAACCCCACCCCCTCCCCCTCTCTTCAAAAAAGGACAAAGAAAGAAAAAGAAAAGAACTAGTACATTCCATTGCTCTAACTCAAGATGCATTACTACAAACAACAACAACCCAGTAAAATCTCACAAATGGGGTCAGGAGAGGGTAGAATATCCTTACCCCTACCCCGAAGGGCTAAAAAGATTGTTTTCGGAGACCCTCAGTTCAAGAACACAAAAATAGACAATAGAATCTGTGATAGCAACAAAAATCAGAAAGATAATATAAGCATCATAGGAAACAGAAAAATAGATGGAAAAACAATAACAACAACTAGTAATAGTGCCACAGTACTATGAAAAAAACAGAATAACTCTAACTCTAAATACACTAATTAAGTTCAATTTTGAACAAGTTAGCAGTTAGTTATATTAATCTTTACTGTTTATATCGTTCTATTGAAACTTATCTCACTATAAGAAATTACAATTTTTTGTACTAGACGTTCTTTATATTTTCTACTAGAATATAAAACTTTGACAAGACTAAAACACCGTTAATGAGCATAGAATGTAAAGTAGATATATTAACATGATTAACACATAATCTCAACTAATTGAAATTGCCTATACAATTTCTTTTTCTTTCGCAATGCTATATATATACGACAAATCTAGATGGTGGGCTCGCTCTTATAATCATAGTATGAAATAATAATGCATGTAGAGTAATAATGTGACAACCCATGACTGCTGTTGGGGAGAAAGGTGTGAGCTCAGGAATCCAATTCAAGCAACGCCAGGTTCCGGTTGGAAATTCAAACTGAGCAATGATTGACATAACTAAATTCCTTTTTTTTGTGTGTATGTATTTGGTGGCATAATTACGTGCAAAATAAAACCTAGTATATATTTTATTAGTATCATACTTTCATAGATTGGGAAGTCAATCTTATAAATACTTTAAGTTTTAAATGCTAAAGTTTCAGAAACTTATCTATCAAAGTGTTAAATGTCATGTTTAAACAGTTCAAAGTGACACTTATTGTGCCGCCAAATTAGTTAGAATCTTGATGAACTACCTTATGAATATAAACTTTTTATGTGTCACAGAGATTTAAATATATATATTGCACATCCAACATTTTGTTTGGACAAACTTTGGAAGAAACTTTTTTGAAAGTTGAAGACGTGATTTGCTAGTTGTATTCTTTTGAAGATTTGTCAGTGTTTTGTGAATGAATGTTATTTTGTGTCTCATACAATCTAATTTTTTGTCTCGTAATTTTGTGGACCCAAAAGTGTAAGAATGGGATCCACAAATTTGTGAGACAAAAAAAGACCTCATACAACTAGTGTTAGTTGTATGAGACACAAAATAAAACTTCTCGAAAAAGAGTTATAAGAACTCCCATGCACACTTTGCACATAATTAAAATATTTTCAAATTTTTGAAACTGACATTATTATTCAAAAAGTAAATATGGTTTTTGTAAGAAATTTGCACAAACACATTTCACTCAATAGCAACGACATGCATGATTTGATGCCCCAAAGTTTACTCTTATTATTGACGTATGATCTTTATAATTAATCATCTCTTTTGCATCTTTAATTGAGATTTATATTAAAACATTACGTATTTTCTATTATTTGCAAGAACTGACTTTTTAGTTAAAGAAAAAGTAGAAATTAAGATTCTTTTAACAAACCATTTTTTTTCTTTTGGCTAGATAGATTCTTTTAGCCTTCCGGAATCTCCAATTGAGCAATTAATATTAAAATTAATTTCAGAGTTTCTGTTCTGTTTTGACATATAGTAAAAGGGAGAGAGAGAGACAACATCAAGTAAATGTCAAAATCTAACATTATAGTAGCAACTTTTTACCAAAGATACATCATTAAACTACCAACACATTATTATTATTTTTACAGAAAAATAAAACATTCCAAGGACACAAGTGGATTTTCAAGTGATTCATTTTCACTTGTCGGTGGCCACTTGTTTTCTCCATTCCCATCTCTTTCCTCCATCTTCCGGATCCGATCACCCAGTTCGGATCTCACTCTTCCCGGCGACTTACCCGTTTTCCTCACCGACGGGCTCCTCCCTATACCCAACCCGAATCCTCCATTCTCCGTCCTCATCGCCGGTGACCTCGATCTCCTACCAGAACATTCCCCGTTATCCTTCCTCGGACCCCGAGAATCTCTTCCGCCTCTAACCCGACCAGGAGACGGATCGGATCTTCTCGCAGGCGAGCTCCCAACATTTCTTCTCAACTCTCCCTGAAAAGAACCATTCCGGTACTTGGCCGGCGACATCTGCCGGACTTCAGTGGCATCATCTTCAGTTGTTGTATATCGTTTATCTGTTAGTGTTGTTGTAGTTGAAATGGTGTCGCTGCAGATCTCGGATACTTCTTCCGAGAGATCATGATCATGACGAGAGTGGTGGTTGAAATTAGGAATGATAGGTTTCTTCAAAACGTGATCTTTAAGGTGTTTTTGTTCCATAGTATTGGGAAAATATGAGATGGGAGAGGATTTCTTGGGTATAGTTGGAGTTTCAGAAAGCACTTCTTTGACTGTCTCTTCTTCGCTCTGTTGTGAAGAATTGGATATAGTTGGAGGTACTTTGTTGTGGTTGTCACTACTAACACAACAACCCATTTTTGGTAGCTAAAGTAAAGCCTGTAATGAGACTTTGTTACTTCATTGTGTGACAGTTGCTATGGCGGAAACAATGGGGAAAGTTTTGGTGTGGTTGGAATCTGAAGTTAAAGACAAGGAGGGAGACGGAGAAGTAGTGAGTCAATGAAGTGAGAATTCCTCTGGAGGAAGAAATGGTTTCCTTTAATATAGCAAGAGGTAAGGGTGGCCCAAAAAGTAAATACAAGCGATTAAAATAACTTAGTTCAAAAAAAAAAAAAAAAAACTCATACCTTCATGTTCAATGATTAATAAAAAAAATTACTCCTATATGAGTAAAATTGGTAGATTTTAAAATGATGCTTTCACTATCTGATGAATAATATATAATTCTTTTCAACTTTTACTCTTATATAGTATGCAAGTTAATTTATAATACACAAGATAGATTAGAATCTTAAATTTTAAACTGATCAAATAATATCACATAAAATTAAACGAAGTATTCATTTAAAAATTTTAACAAAATTGTGACCCAATAAAATTAGTAGCATAAAAAGGTAACTACATCCACAAGTTAGTTATCAACCAGAAGTGCGGGAAATAAAATAAATGGAGTAAGTAAAAATCTTTGTTATGGAATATGGCAAATTTTTGTTCCTCCGGTGACGTCAGATGATGTGGAATGTGGCAACTTAGGGGGAAGAAATTTCTAGATATCCCCACTTTACCTCCAACAGATAAATGGAAAAAAAAAATGATAAGAGAACCCTATGAGGGCAAACAAAAAAGTAGAAAAATAGAAGGTGGAAAATAGAACAAGGAGAAGAAGACAAAGAAATGATTTAGAAGAAATTCACAACGTACATATTGAATTTGGAGGTTCTGTGTCATGTTCTGATGTTCTTTTAAACACGGGAACGATAAAGTTGTCTCTGCGTAACTTATACTTCGAGCTGTACAATCAACAACTGATGCTTGCATCAAGGTGGATTGCCTAAATCACACCCCTCCGAACCCTGCATGAATGCGAGATGATTCGTATACCAGACTGCTTTTTTGAAAGAACGATAAAAAATTCATTAATTAAATGATAAAGTACATATAATACTTACGACAGATATCATTATTCATGTAATTATCGATTTAATGCATGAAAAGTTGCACATTATTAAGTACTAATTATATTTTCCTAATTCCATTTTGAGAATAAGTGATTGTTGTTCCATAAAAGTAAAAATGCTGCAATTAGTGAAAGAGTAGGAGCATGTAGTTCTTTGGTCCATCCACGTATCACATGTATAACCAGGGAACATTTACATGTGAAATGTGAAACTAGTGTAATGTGTCGTTTCTGACATAGGCCAAAAAAAATTTATTATTTCGACAACTAATATACCTTGTATGTTATTGGATATAGCAGTTTGTTTGGAACTCAAACCAATTACATCGAATTATGTAATTTATTTTATTTTATGAGTTTCAAACAAAATTAAGAAAAGTTACTGTTCTGATTACTTTTGTATCAAAGCAGTCCCACAAATTAATTTCCTTTCCCGCGCCATTTTGCTTTCTTCTCACATTCATTAACCTGACAAGAAGAAAATTTCTTTCTCGTGATTTTCATAATCAATAGTATGACAAAGGGAACTCAAATTTTGCATACTAAGCTAGTATTTGGCTATAGATTTCTAAATTTATTTTGAAAAATCTGATAAGTAAAGTTTGGTTTGAAGATAAAAATGTGTTTGGACATAAATTTTCAAAATATATTTCACTTTTTTTTTTTGGAAAAAACATGAAACATGACTTATACCTACAAGTTCTTAAAACTATCACAAATACCAACAGTACCTTTATCAATAACATTCATTATATTATCGCAAAACCATAGTCCTGAACATAAATAAGTTTGGTACAAAATTATCATTTTTATAAGGCAAAATGGCCTAAATGGTACCTATACTTGTGCCACTTTGTCATGCCGGTCCCCAAACTTAACAATTTGCCAACCAAACTCCCCTACCCTTAAAAACTGAGCATTTTAAACCCCGCTCATCCTATGTGGCATTTTTTACTGAAGTGCGTGTGCTACACTCGTTTAAGGAGCGTGAGGCCTATTAAAAAGGCACCAAGAGCCATTTTTTGGCTGTCATCTTCTTCCCGATTGTTCATCCTCCATTGTTGAAAAAAAGTGAGCTTTTCTTCTATGCTTTTCTCTCTCTCCAACATTTTCTGTCCAATTCTTTTTTTCCTCTCTCTTCAACATTTTCTCTCCAATTCTTTCTCCCCTCCCCTGACTTTAGCATTTCATCGAACACGTGGTGTCTGCAATTCTGCAGATTTTATTCTTTGAATTGTTGTGACGATTGATTCATTGTAGTTGTTGTTCGATCGTTTGGCATCAATCACTTGCTCAGTTGGAGTCAATTGGTATTGGTCTTGTTTAACTTGGACACCTGTAGCTCCATCCTCGACCAACTGGTATTCGCCGGCCATATTCAGTTGGTTGGAGGAGATTATTCCGGCATTGAAATTGTCTGAAACTTGGTGGGTCGATGGTATTTTTAGTGGAGAACAATCTCCGCTGCTTGGAATCACTTGATCTGAACCAAAACAGATATGATAAATATCAGTTTTGCTTCGACACATGCCCATTTCTGGCAGCAGAATGAAGTGTTGCTGTGTTACTGTTCACAGCAGTCGCATCATTTGGGGAAGATGATTAGGGGATTAATTTTTGAATTTTATTTTTTGATTTTAATTATTTTTAATCTACCAAGTGACATGGCATCTACACATTGTTATTTTTGACGTGGCAGCCAACGTGGAAGAGATTGTATTACACGCACTGACAGCTTCCTGTCATAAGCGTTTATTATTCACGGTTTGAAGGAGTATAAGGGTTTGGTTGGCAAATTGTTGAGTTTGGGGACCGGCATGACAAAGTGGCACAAGTATAGGTGCCATTTAGGCCATTCTGCCTTTTTATAATGAACTACATAATACAAAATCAGATGACGAGAAGACGAAGCAGCATTGATACAATAATAAATGGTGGGCTCTTTTATAAAATACAAATTTGGGGCAATTTTTAAAAACTGTAACAGTGACAATTTGGGCCAAAACCAGCTCTTGGAAATTTGCCAAAATGTAGATAAAATCTATGTCCAAATATGTATTTGCAAAAAAAACTCTAAATATACTTTGGCAAAATCTATGGCCAAACGGATCCTTAAATTTTGGCCTGGATAGGTGGATTCACGTCTTAGATCTGATCTCATCTAATAAAAAGATACCAAATTCAATTAACTCGTACTACATTATGTTGATTCATATCATGATACACATCACGTGGGTACATATGTAAGCAGTTTTGTTTCTGTGAGAAACTACACAGTAAATAAATATAGTATAACAAATCTCATTTTCTGCATCTTTAACTCTATTCTAGATTAACAAAGTTTTCTTTTTTCGTTACAAAGTTAAAAACATTTTTTTGGAATCACTACTCTCAATATTGAGAAATTCTGTCCAGTGATATTTGAATGCAACTTAATAAGATATTCAATCAAACTCCAAAGCTTAACGTCTTCATTGATCTAAGTTAAAGTAAAAAATCAATCATTTAATATTTATTTTATTAAAATTTTTAATTTCCTGTTCGATTTTTTCAATAAATTGTTGTGAAATATATAATTTAAATGCCAACCGCCCTTTTTGATAGTCTGTTATGAGCTTCACATTTTTTTAAAAATTCCGATGCCTGTCTAGATTCTAATCAGGCTTATAGGAGCAGACTCAACCAAAGTTATATTAACACGTGTATCCCTAAGTAACATGATTACTCATCCCCAAATTAATCAAAGATTAATTTTCTTATTCTAGTCTGATAATTACAATTAATTACTATCTCATAAAATAATTATTTCATAGAAGAATCAATATAAAACAATTGTAAGAAAGTACATTTTCTGCAAATGTTGCATAAATTTATAATTGCTGGCCATTAGGGGTAGAATTGGCGGCTTACGCCCTGGATTGACAGAAGGAAACGGAACGGTGTGGAGTTCCTACTCTTTGTCAAGTCCTTTTCAAGTGAGAGCTTCTCTCTCTAAACTCCCCTACCACTTTCCGTTATACGTATTTCCTTCATCAACTAAAATCATATACAACAAATCTATCAAACAACAACCAGCAATGAATGTGATAATAGGCAAAATCTAGATGATTTACCTATTATGTATGCTTTCGCTTGATTATATTCCAAGGTCATATTATGATTAATTGATGAAATATGGGCTCTAATTGTGAATTGTATATATCTCAGGTTAAGGAGCTTATATTATGCTAGAAAATGTGATTTGGAACCATTTTGGAGCAACAAAGATCCCTCGGAGTTTTGTATGGTTGAAGACAAGGCAAAATATCAAGGCCACAGCACAACTGGGCTAGCGCGCCCAAATGCGCTGCAGCGCTAATAAATGCACGGCCAAGACAGAACCTCAGCAAACTAGCGCGGCCAGATGCGCGGTCAAATGCGCGGCAGCGCTAGTCCAAAATCCGGCGATGGTTCATTGGGGGCAAAAGTGGAAAACTGGAGAAAAATTCACTTAACCTATATAAGGTCAAGCTCGCCCAAGGGAGTTTTATCAAGGTTTTCATAGGCTAAAGCAAGACAGAGAGAGCAATTTTTGACCAAGGAAGATCACAGAGCCGCCGTGGAGGTCGGGTTTCATCTTTTCTTCCACCAACTTAGTCTTTTTATGTTTCTTTGTATGATTTGTTGTTTTGCTACCATGTCTATGTGGAGCTAAACTTCACGTTCTAGGGTTGTGGTTCTTTCATGACTATTGTTATTCGGATATTGATTTTAATTTTTTAGTTTATCATATTGGTTTATTTATTCAATCCTGCACTTAATTATTTGATTGCTTGATCACCAATTGAATACTATCTACGAATCTAGAGTTGAACTCGAAAGTGGGAATTCTAGATTGCATATAGGATTGAATAGAGCAAGTTCTTGAACCTGGGCATCGGGGAACGGATTCGCGGTTAGGATAGACATATACCTAATTGCCTTGCTTGGTTGATTTACAGGAATTATAAATGCGTTCTTGTTGATTCTAATTCCATAGACATATAGGAGTTAGGTTAGCTTGAATAGGCGAGTAAGAACTCGACAAATTCTTATGAGCAATATTAACCCTGTCAACCAATAAACTAGATAAA